AGCAGCAGTGGGAAGAGCGTGGACCTCCTGAGCCACAGGAAGAAGCTGCCCTCAGGTGAAGATGTTGCGAGGGGGAAGCTCTACCCCCTCTTCCTCCTCGCCAGAAGTGCTCACACGCTCAGTGGGAAGGAGGTGGTTTGTTGGGGGGTCAGAGGGGCAGTGAGCGCTTCGCGTGTGAGTGCTTCTGGTGAGGAGGAAGAGAAGCACTGAGGGGGGCGCAGGAGATCTCCTCCCCCTCGCAGGCCAGGAAACACCCAGGAAGAGCTCCAATGCTGCAATCTCCCACACCCCTGCCCTCAAGAGCTTCTCTTCCTCCTCGCCAGAAGCTCTCACATGCTCAGAGAGAAGGAGGAGGCTTGCCGGGCCAGAGGGGCAGTGACACTTTGCACTTGAGTACTTCTGTCGAGGAGGAAGAGAAGCTTCTGGGGGGGGGGTCGAGCCTCCCCCTTGCAATATCTTTCCTTGAGGGCATCACTGGCAGCCACTCAACCTCCTCGATGTGCGGATCCTTTCCCCTCACCCCCACCCCTTCACTAATGCCATACAAATGTGAGTAGTATTTCTTCTCCAATCTCCAAGTTAGAGGAGCGACATTCATTTGTGACTGGCAGCATCCACCTGCGGCTTCCTCGCTGCCTTTGGAACCAATTTGGAAGGCTGGGAGAGGACTTCTCCAAGGCAAGAGGGGGGCAGGACTCACTGGCCTCCAAATTGGTTTCCAGCCACCTGGGGCAGCATTCAAACAAGGGGAGTGGGAGGCTTATAATCAAAACCATGATAATAAGCCTCCCCCTCCTTCACTCCCCTCATTTGAAGCCTCCGAAGTAGTGGTGAAATTTGAGTACCTCCACCAGGTGGTAGGGACGGTTCAGTTCACCAAACTGAACAATCACCCCTGGTTGGTCCCACCCACGCCCGCCCGGTCGCACCCATGGTGGCAATAGGGGTAGTACTGGTGGCGGGAGAGAGAGAGAGGGAGAGAACAAAGCAAAAATCCCTGCAAAGTTGACACCCCGACGTGCCAAATGTTGCAATCCAGGAGAGAAAAGCGTCTTGTCACCCTTTTCCCTGGCAGCCCTTCTCCAACCTGGCGATCTTCAGGATTTGGGAGGGGGTATGAGGGGTGCGTGTGAAGGACTGCAATTTTTGATGAACTTTCCTCCAAGAGTTTCTCCCTTCTGCAACTCTGGGGCACGAGTTGGCCGCTTCTGCAAGAGCCAGCGGAATCAATGAAGCTCGCCCCACGGGGCCAGTTCCTTAGGAATTTCCCTCTCTCCTCTTCACTCCCCAGATGGCTGAGGAGGCGCTCAAAACAACCTGGAGCTTTTCCTGCCTTATTTTGCTCTTTTAGCTTACCTTCCGCAGCAAAGTCAAGATGACCAATCATGTCAGATTCCTACTACCTTCCCCCCCCACTCCCGGCGACTGAGAGAGAGAGAGAGAGAAAGAGAAAGAGAAAGAAGAGAGAGAAAGAAGAGAGAGAAATGAGAGAGAGAGAACAACAAGGGCAAAGAAGTGATGTCGGCTTGGCTACGCCCACCCATCCATATGGCCACCAGGCCATTTTTATATTAAAATATATATATATGTATGTATGTATGTATGTATGTATGTATGTATGTATGTGTGACATTCGGCTTAGTTCGGGTATTTTCCCACGTCATAGTAGTTGTGCTTTTAAAGTTGTAGCAACGTTTCGGCAGAATCTCATCTGCCATCATCAGGCTTCTGTATAGTGTTCATCTGTCAGTCAGACTTTTACAGTGGTTTCAGATTTAAATTTGGGGCAGCCTATTGCTGTGCCAGAATGGTTTTTTCTTTATCCTGATTGGTTGGGAGTCTTGGTCTGTGTTTATTGGTCTTGGAGTTTGCTGTGTTCTGCTTGATTGGTGTTTCTGATATCTTCTGTCTGTTTTTTGGCTTTTTTTGTATCTTGATTGGCTGGCAACATTGTGTTACTTTATTGGAGGCCTTTAGTGCAGCTTGTCTCCGGGTAAACGGATGGCTATCATTAGTTAGGAAGCTAGGTTTCATCTGGGTGCCTGGTTGGGGTGTGTTTGAGCTGGAGGTATCAGGGGGGATCTGTTTGTGCCCAGGTGTTTGCCTGGCTAGTGGTGTGGAGATTTTTTTGTTTGTGAGTGCAGGCTTCCAAATGATTGACAGTCTGGTGGAATCATCTCTTCTATTCATGCTTTCTGGTCTTTTTTCAATCTCTATGGCTTCTCTGATGATTGGCTGGGGTTTTCTATAGTGGCTAGGGTTTTGGTGCCATTGAAGTTGATGCTATGACTTGTGGCTTCCATGTGTTGGACTAGTGAGGAAGTGTGTTCCAGCTTTTTGACTGCATTTTTGTGTTCATCCAGGCGGGTACTTATTCTTCTTTTGGTCTGTCCAATGTATGTGGCCGGGCATGATGCACAGGGGACTTCGTATATGCCTTGGTTTTCCAGGTCAATTTTATCTTTGGGGTTTCTAAGGATGGCTGCTATTTTTCTGTCTGTTTTGAAGGCAGTCTTGATGTGGTGTCTGTGTAGTATCTTACTAATTTTGTCTGTGGTACCTCTTATGTAGGGCAGGACAGCTGTTCCATAGGTCTGTTCATCTTCTGGGTCTCTATTATGTCTCAGTGTGTTTTTGTGGATCAAGCCGGTGATTTTGCTTTTGTGGAAGCCGTTGGCTGTCAGTACTTTAGTCAGGGTGCATAGTTCAGTCTTAATGTGTGTCTTGTCTGCCAGGCGTTTGGTTCTAGTAACTAGTGTTTTAGTCACTGAGTTTATCTGGGTGGTGGTGGGATTGTGCGTTGAGGTAGCGGTTAGTGTGTGTTTTCTTCTGGTATACGGTGTGTCCTAGTGTGCCATCTGTTTTTTTGTAGATTAGTACATCTAGGAATGGTAGTTGTTTGTTTGTTTCCGTTTCCATGGTGAACTTGATTTTGGGGTGTGTGCTGTTTAGGTGTGTTAGGAAATTGTTTAGGTTTTCTTTTCCATGGGGCCAAATCACAAATGTGTCATCAATGTAACCCAAACTATGGTTAATATACATTGATGACATAGATAGATAGATAGATAGATAGATAGATAGATAGATAGATAGATAGATAGATAGATAGATTTGTTTTCTTAAGTTTTCGCGGGTACTTACATGTATGGTATTCAGCTTTGTTTGGGTATTTTCCCACGTCATTATAGTTGTGCTTTTAAAGTTTTAGCAACGTTTCGGCAGAATCTCATCTGCCATCATCAGGCTTCTGTATTGTGTTCATCTATTAAAATTTTTATATTATATATATATATGTTTTCTGAGGTTCTCGCGGGTATTTGTATGTG